GGGGGAGGTTTTTGGTGGTGCTTTTAGGAGTGGGAGGGGAAGAACAGGACCATGCCGTTTCTTGTATGGATTTTGTGAGGAAGTTAACTGCTTCCTCAATATCATTGGGGAATTTTAAACTTATGTTGAGGTTTATTTTGTTCTCGAGGGAGGATCTGAAGGTTACCCAGTCTATAGTGCCTTGAGTTAAAGTAGGTTTACTTGGTTTGTTTGGTGGCATAGTGTCGATTGTGAGGAGAACCGATGAATGGTCAGAGCAGAGGTCATCTAAGTTGATTACTATACTGTGAAGATTGTTTGGTATTTTGGTTAAGAATATGTCGAGAATGTCTGGGTTTTTTCCTTCGGGAGGTGGGCCAGTATGTTGGCGAGGGCGGAGCATGTATTTTGTAGTTTCGTAATTGCGCTAGGGTGTTAATGGTATTTCCGCGAGGGTTATTTGCGCGGCAGCCCCATTGTGTATTTTTAGCATTTATGTCGCCTCCGAGAATGAATTTTTGGCCAAGAGAGTCGAAGAAGTTTTCATATTGGGTTTTGGTGATTGTGTGGCGTGGCGGGCTGTACACTGCATGGATGTTTATGGGAATATTGTTGAGTGTTGTGCGGATACCACACGATTGCAAGTAATCTGTTTGATATGGTGGTAGGGGATAGAATAGCAAGGATGTTCTTATTATAATAGCAGCTCCTGCGTGAGCAGTGCCATCTGGGTGATTGGTTTTAATAATATTAAAACCTGGGAGATTGAGGTGAGATGAATGCGTAAAATGCGTTTCAGATATTAAGGCGATATCTATTCTATTATTTTGTAGGATGGCTAGTATCTCGTCTCTATGGTTTGTTAGACTATTTGAGTTCCAAGTTAGGATGAGGAGGGATTTTGAAGTTATTTTATTAGTTGGCATTTTTATTGAGGAGACTTGAGATAAGAGTGGTGAGAAGGGAGATAAGAGGATTTATGATTGATTTAAATTCTTCTATAAATTTAGAAAAGGATTGTTCGTTATTATTTGTTGGAGCCGGGATATTATAGGGAGGAGGGTGACCCTTTGTTACATTTGCGTACGTACGTTGATTTGGTAGGTGTTCTTTATTTGATTGTTGGTGTTGGGGCTGGTGTGTAGAGTTGAAGTTGAATGGCTGCTGGAGGCTGGGTTTTATACTTGAGATGTTGGGACGTCTTTGGGATAGTTGTTTGTATATGGTGCATCCCCTGTAGTTAACAGGGTGTGCTCCTTCGCACAGGGCACATTTTGCTGGGAGGTCTGAAGATTTTTCACAGGAAGAAGTGGGATGGTCGTTTCCACATTTGACACACTTTGGGTTGTGAGCGCAATATGTTCTAGTATGGTCATATGACTGGCAGTTTTGACACTGAGGGATTTGGCGTTTTTTATGAGGTTCTTCTATTTTTACTTTTGTGTGAAGTAATGTAGTGATGGAGAAGATATCACTGTCGCTTCCTTGTGGATCGAGGTTGGCGAAGAACATGGGGAGTGGAGTTTTTGTTTGGGCGTGTTTAATATTAATCACGTTTCTGACAGAGTGTCCTATCTCTTCAATTGCTGATGCTATGTCAGTTGTTGGGGTGGAGGGGTGAAGATTTCTGATGACTATTCTGAGTGGTTTATCAGCTTGGAGTTGATAGGTGTGAAATTGTGCATTGATTCCTTTTAGGAAGTGGATTAGTTTTCTATAGCTGTCAGGATTATTTGTTTGAATTTTTAGGTAATTTGAAGTAGATTTGCACGAGAAGCTAGTTGGACCGATTTCTTCGATGAAGCTGTTCCTTAGTTGAAGAAAGTCAATTACGCCTTTGATAAATATAGGTGGAGGCAACATTTCTTTTGGTGTATCGTTTATGGTATGTGTTTGTACTGGATTTTGATGGTCAGGCGATTCAATAGTATTAGTGTCATCGGCGATAATAGGTTCCGAGTCATCTTGCGCGAGAATTGAGTAGCGGTTGGAGGTAATGAATTTCTTTGATTTATTTATGTTTAATGTTGTAGGTGATTGTGGCGGTGAAGTAGATAATGAGCGCTTTTTCGATTTTACTTTATTATTTTTGTCCGTTGATTTAATGATTTTATTGTCAACAATTTTAATTGGGGATACGGTCCGGTTGTTTATCTGCGGCATAATGACGCTATCTTATCGACAGTCGAAAGGTTACCGAGGGAGCGGTGCCTGCGGCTGGTTGCATAAGTGTCGTAATGTATGAGAGGTGAATAATATTTTTAATGTTATTTTAGTGAGAAAATTAAAGTATATTACCCTGCTGGTGGGATGTTGTTGCAGGGTACATCCGAGAATGGTGAGGATTTTTGAGTAGCGTGAGTTCGATACTAGATATAATGTTTTCCGTTTGTATTTGTTAGAGATACGAGGATAACCATCGAGCGTCGGATAAATGCGTGCGCACAGTCGGACTGTCCACGCGGGAATGACGTAAAATATAATTTTTAATTTGAACACGAAATTTATTTAAAGAACAATCATTTTGAATGTATTTCGTTTTAATCGAATAATGGTGAACACTAAGTCGGTAACTATGACTTTTCATAGCTTTATAAATTACCTTATTAAAATCATAATGCGCTTTGGTGTAATTCGAAACAAAAACGATGTACTTACATCACTTTCAAATAAAATATTTATGTTCAATTTTCAAAAGATCGATTCATCAGCATTGGAAATTTTTCGGCAGGTTTGACCGTAATAACCAAAGATATTTTGGTAGTAGTCTATATTTAGTATCGTAATACTTTACGCCCATTACGATGTGCAGAATTCGAGAAAATTACCAGTCCATCTTGCATAATTCATGAAATGTGCTAAAAAAAAACCCATTTCATAAACAGGAAAATTTAAAATAGCAAAGGGGTTGATATTACATAAAACCCCTTTATTCTATATTTATTGTACGTAATACGCGTGTTTTAGTGGGTAGTACTATTTTGGTATCACGAAAACGCCTTAATTTATCAACATAAAATACACACTGAATCTGTATAAATAACGGTTGTGTTTGATTCAAGTATAATTTAAAATAAGAACTGGAACTAAGTTTATTTTACTGAAACTTGACAACCATAAGCAACTCGAAAAACGTTTAAATAATAACACAGAAGTATAGTGTTTTCCTACAAACCTAACTAAACAAGACCAATATCCTTTTATTACTATCATCACAATACTCATATTATTTCATCAGGAAAAATTTTACACGATTGAATCCCATTATAATTACATCAATAATAATATTAATAATAGTTGCATGATTATAAAACACAAATGAAATTAACTTATAGCAAGTGAAAATATTTTATTTCAATAAATATTTTTATTATTATTTTTGTGTTAAAATATTTAAATACTTTTCAATAATAATAAGCATTGAGTATCGCATATTTTGATGTTTGTACTTTATTGTTTTCAACATAAATAAAAAAAAGTTATTGTTTGACGTTTTTAAATTATGGACGCGTTAAATTAAATCCACTCTCATCGAATAACGTAGAACATATTAACCACCGTAAATATCGCTTAAAAAAAACCTTTGAATATGTTAATTAAAAATATAATGTTTGTGTATCCTATAACTTCTTTATTTTTCTTTATTTTAAATTGTATGCATAACACATGGACTACGAGTAGGTATAACAATATAATTTTGTGCTAATATAAAATATAAAGTTATTTTCGACGATATTTTTTTTTTTCTAAAAAATAATAAACGCCCTTCAAATATTTCAAAATTATGAATGAATAATATATCGTTTTTTTTTTCGGAAATCAGATGAAGATAAACATTTAAGTGAGGTATAATAATTTACAATAATGTCAATCTCCGTAATGGTAACGTAAAAATGACGTTGCTTATATTACAACACTATACAAGGGAAGAATTATAAAAAAACTGATTTCACATAGAATATTATGGTATTCCTCCAATATTATTAATATAGGTATATTTAGAAGCCCTGAATAAAATATTTATAGTAATTTTTTTTATAACTTTACAAGTTTATTTAAGTTTTGTATATTTTTAACCAATTTGATATCCCGTCTGCATAACATAAAAAAGTCTATTGGACAAAGAAGTTATTATTGAATATGTCAATGTATGTAAGTCCTTCCACATGTTTTATTTTAAAACATATTGTACCATGGATTTAACTTTGATGGTATCTACACATATGTCAATATAAGTCTGTAATATATAATTATGGACATTTGTAAGAGTTTTCAATAATTAATTTCTGCACATTTCATGGAAAATACATTTTTTTTTCAATTTTTATTTGATAACAATCACTATCAGTAATATTTTGATAAAATATTAATATGTAGTATAAATTATTCATTATACAATTCGATCATATAACTTGAGAAGAAATAATATTCAATGCAATTAAATACATTACATAATTTTTTTAAATAATTTACATCTTGATTAAACGTATTAAAATTTGAGTGTATCTGTGACGAATGACGAATGACGAATCACTATTGTAGTATTAGTTCATTGAATTAAGTCGATTAATATAATGATGGATTTGAGTTTGGATTACTGTGTTCGTGACATTATATGAAATGCGGTTTGATACGAACAAATAAGTGGCCTTTACTAATACTGGTGCAAAGTATTGAAAAATTTAAATGATTAGATTAATTTTTGAACAATTTGGCAGGACGTCATGCTTAAAAATATACAATACGACCATAATGGTTTTTAGATTATTTTATAAGAAAATTCATAAGTATAATAATATTATTATAATTTTATAAGATAAATTAATCAAAACGAGAAAGATGCTATATTTTTCCCCCTAAATAATTAATCAAATTCTCAGTTTAGACACTAATTTATATTTATTTTATTATTATTATTATTATTTATTTTTTTTTTTTTTTTTTTGATACTTTGATGCTGCTTGTACTGGGATTTGCAGATAAAATTATTTATTGATACATATATTTTCATAGTTATTTTTAACGTGAAAATTATTAACACATTTTTCTTCATTAATTTCAATATTCTTTATTGATTTTATTTTTAGATTTAAATTTAATGTTCTTTCCTTGGCCACCTCTGTAAAAGCGTTATTTTTTTTTTTTTTTATATAGTGTTAAGTCGTGACATACAATTGTTGCATTATTTGATGCTCCTATGGAATCGAAAGCAGTTTAATCAAACGTAGTTCTTAAAATAATATTCATCCTTAATCTATAAATCGAAACATTAACAATTATAAACGAAAAGACAATACATGCATTGGTTTTCATTTTATATGGACGTAATTATAACTTAGACAAATTCTTAAAACAAAGTGAGGAAATCTAATTGAAACAAATATTTCCGTATACATCCAAATAGATTGGTAACATTCTTTTTCAGTTTGTGTATTTAAAAGATTTAATTCCTTTTAGTGTCAAAGATTTTACTTGAATCTCCTCGGACTTCGTGAAACTTAAATGATCTTATGTATTTTTCCCATTGGGATTCCGAAATATAGTTTGGATAAGTATAAGATGTTTCATTAGTTTAATGGTTAGCTATGTTATCACATTTATCTTTGTAATAGTAAAAAATCATTGTTTTATTAACATGACGATGGTATTTATTTTTATTGAATCTGTAAACATTTATATTATGATTCGACTTATTATGTATGAATGATGGGATGAAATAATTTTAAACGTTTCACGTTATTGTGATAGAACTGAGTTCATATAATATCACAACAGTATTACACCCCTATTGCATAATGTCTATAAATAATAAAAACATGTTTACAAATAAATTCAGCTACGGATAATGATCAATAAGGAATATTTGATAGTAATTTTTTGATTTAAAATTGCAAAATTAATACAATCTAAATGGTTTTTTTTTACAAAATTGTATACGATGTTTAAGATTTTTATTTAAGTATTTTTGGAACAATGTTTATTTATCAAACATTACATTTTCGTAAACAACTATCATGTACTGGAATTTATGAAAATTATTTTTTCTATTTATTTGATAGGAATATATTTATTATTAGACAAAACTTACGTGACTTATTTATTGGTATAGTCCGACTAAATTATTAACATCTTAGTTAATTGAATACAAGTATAATTATTCGTTTTCAGCTAAAAGCACCGGAAAGGCACGGTACGATTTGTACTTCTCGACTATATTTCATGTTAATTAATAAACCTACAACCAAGCGCACCTTACGTCCAACGAAATAGTCTATACAATTTTATTAATTTATGTACAGTGAAAACGATCCGAGAGAAAATCGCATTCCATATTCGAGCAGCTGCCAGTTTTGTACGCAATACAATATCCTCAGTATACCTAATAAATTGCGACGGTATATTATCAAACTTTCATCTAGGACGGTTAACAGTGTTATTGAGGATTCGCTTTAGACAAGTTTTGTCGTAGAATAATATACGCATCGGTGTTGTTATGTACTCCGTTGTTATCTTTCCGGGTAAAGTATTCAAACATCAAGATACACTGATGAACCTTTGTATTGCAATCTTATTTACGAAAAGGATAGTCGGGACAGTTAATTTTCATTGCAATAACCATCAACCGATTTGGGAGACCGGCTCGTTAGATGGACACAAAGTAAGGGTGTCCGCTTTATTATTTACAAGTACTAAGGACATTTATGACCTGCAGTCCTGTACTCTTGTAACTTGCACAAACAAGCGCGAAGCATGCAAATTTCATAGTCAGAAGTTATCTGCAAAATCGTTTTCTGTCACGGAATAGTTAATGAAAACTTTTGTTGATGTTATTTATATGTATATGTATAAAAATTACGTTAAGTGGTATACTCGTAAGACTGTGATATCATAATAACTTGTTTGCTATTTTGTACACATACCTATACAGATCCAGTGCTGACTCGTAAAATGTCTGATTTATAACATTTTATACAAGATAAATAATTGTACATAAGTAATTCGGTAAGACATATAGTATAGTCTATAATACAATATGTTACAACTTACAACTCGAACGGAATAGAAATGAAAAACAATTTAGGTTTTAATCATTGGAAATCAGTGGCGTTGTGTACAGGGGGCAGTGCTCGGAGGCAATAGCCCCCCCATGATCTTGACAAGATATAGCTCAGGACCTTATGGTTCTCATATTAAAAACAAATCAATATTTATCATTTACTCACAAATATCCTCAAAATACTAATTTTATTTATAACAAATTAACTATGAAAGAAAAACATTTTTTTCAAAATTGACAGACACGTCGTCAAAGGGGGGGGGGGGGGCTTAGAAGGCCTGGCCCCCTAAGAAAAATCAGTGGACCCTTTGATTTTGATTTTTAAATATTATGGTGTTTAGTTATCTCAAACTGGCTAAATCCTGAATGTATATTCCATATGGGCGATTGTAAACTCCGCTAGAATATCGGT